TTCTTCTGGTTAGTGTTATATTCGAGATCTTCTTTGATATCCTGGGATGTGGTTTTCTGATTACAGTTGTATTTCGGCTTCTGTCCAATAGTTTCCTCTTCTGCGACGGATTTTTGCAATCAAGTTGTTGAGTGTTTTTATTTATATAAATTTTGTTGAATGTTTTTATTTTCCAGCAGCAATTTTTTTGCGTGTTCGGGTTTTTCGAATTAGAACGTAAAATGTTTTTTATTTTCCTGCAGCAATCTTTTGCGTGCTAGGAGTTTAGAAAGTTTTACTTTTAATGTTTTTCTGCAGCAATCTTTTGCCCACAGTTTTGCACTTCGTGAATAAAAAAATTTTTTTTTTCACTGTTGTGACAATCTTTTGTCCACAATTTCGCGAAAAATTTAGATTCGGATACCGTTTTTAAGAATTAATATCCACGCACTACTCGCACTATTTGTGTTAGGTAGGACTTATCGGTATCCTACCCACTGCGCCACTTTTAGTCTACAAGTTTTAAAAAAAAAAAAAAAATTAAATTAAATTATTTTCTTTATTCACTTGTTTATTACGTTCCTCTTTGAATTACATATTACGACTAATTTATATTATGTTGAGGGGTTTTGCTATAACAACTCAACCCAAAATAGAATGTATCATAAACGAAATTTTCCAAATTACTGTTGTATTTAACACAATAGAATAAGCATCGTATGTGTTGTATGTACATGCCCCCAAAAAAAAAAATGATTGAAGTTTAATAGCCCTTTTACAATTGTCTATAATTTATGCAGTAAAATGTCCTTACACACTCAAACCCTTGTCGTATGGGTTTCAAGTGGCGTCAAGTTTAATTTAATTAAAATAAGTAAGGAAGTGTTAATTTGGATGAAAGCAAACCGCTAAGACTTAGTGATATATGATTTGAATTAAAAAGTAAAAAACAAAATAACAGAGCCAAATGTTACAACCAGAGTCTAATGTAAAAAGTATGTAGTGTAAGATCTTTGGAGTGTATTCGAGGGACCTTCAACTTATTAATATTATGTAATAGATCTGACAACAACATCGAAATTTTACGAAAATTGTGTGAAACGAAGCTTAAATTAAATAAGTTAAGCTTTATATTACCCAAGTATTTTATATTCGATAAATTTTTTTTAAGTAAATATAATTTTTAAAAATAAATTTGTAAAAATTAATATTTAAAAATAAATTTTATTCACTATTTGCAGATTATTTTGTTTATTACTTTTCTTACTTGATTTCTTCTCTCGTTCTCTCGCTCTTTGTAATTTGGCCCTCTTTGGCTAATGTATGCCTTAACGGTGGCTTATGTATGTATGTATACAGTACAAGTAAGACCGGAGCATGAAAAACTCATTTACTTGAAAATATTTTCGAATTAACTAATTTGTTCGACTAATTTTCCACTTTTCCGACCATGTCGATCTCTGCATATTTCAATAGATCTACATTCATCAAAATTTCCTATATGGCCAATAATTATTTATAAATGTATGTCTTGCCGTTGTCCTTTAAGAAATGTTGCTTTTGTAGTTCATTGCCACTCATTAATTTTCACAGCTTATTAGTAAGTAATAAAATAACGGCACGTGCGAGTTGATGTCCACACGAGCTTTAAATACCCTTCTACAAGGTTTTCATTTTTTTATTACTTCCCACTTTAGCAATCGATTTGAGTGCGATTTTAAGTTCAAGAGATTTCTAAGGGTCGAAAGGAAATCAATAAAGAAAATAGATATATAATATGTAAGTCAAGGTAAATTTGATTTCCCTGTTTGCGCTAGGAAATACAAATTAATATTAATATGCCTATCCTCTCCTACACATTTGTGGCTTTTTAATCCAACGCACAACTAGTTGAATTATGAATAATAATTCTTCGTATGCATAATAGTACGAGTATATAATATTATTCTAGGTTTAAACACGACAATATTCCACTTATTTTTATTGACTACTATCAGGCTATTTGAATTTGCAGCTGAACCTAAATAAGAAATACACAGTTTTCAGTCCATGCTTTAAGTTCTATTTCTCATACACTTAATCTATGTATATTCAATATGTTTCGCTCAGCATATAACATTAATTATTTTATATTCGGTTTCGCCATAACTTATCTTTACCATACTTGCATTGGTATCCTTAGTGCCAACTAGTACGCCAAGTGGCATATTTACATATATAATGATGATATATGACAAAAAATTGGTCTTTTTATAACGCTTTTATTATCTTCACCTGCATGTTTGTAACTTTTTTCTGTGATAGCGATAATTTAAGATATATTGATAAAAACTTGCTACATATGTTCCTTGGCACCCAAGAGTGGTCGGTATTGCAGATAGACGAAGTTCCACGCCCGCAAAGCGTCAATAAAAGAAAACCTATCAAGTGTCATAACTAAGCACAAAATTAATTACCAAACTGCTAAATGGTACAGGGAATCGGGAAGGGACACCTACTGGCTGAAATTATTTTAAAAGTGGGGGTAGTCTCGCCCCCTAAATGGCTTAATGTACATGTCTTCCAAACAGCTGAAGCTAATTCAACTGTCAAACTGGGTAAAATCAGATAATAACCACGCCCACTCCCCATATAATGGTTATGTTAAAAACTACTAAAAGTGCGATAAATCACTAAATAAATGCGTCATAAGCATTAAATTTCACAAACAAGATGGTAGGGAAGAGGTATGGTATGGGCGTGGCACAACCGACCTTTAAGTGAAATCATATATCTCAGGAACTATTGAATTAATTTCAACCAAATTTAGTATGTGAGGTTACCCAGTCATTCCTATCACACACTGTGAAAATAAGCGAAATCGTACAACGGTTATAAAACTATTCAGCAAAAAAATTAAAGCATCAAATGCATCCTTAAAGAAAGTGAAAACACTACGTGTTTCTAAATAACAATTATAGTTTACAATACTATAAAACATGCTTTTAAAGCACTTCAAACTAGAAAGTGAAAAATAAACTGACAAAAATATTGACCGAAAAATACTTGTATTATTGTGAGAAAGCCGTGGGACGGTTTTTCACAATAAATATGTATTTTTGGGTCAATATTTCTGTTTACATAAATAATTATTACATGCAGACTTTTGTGAATGTTTACCTTTATATATGTAAATACAAGGAAATGTAGAAATTATCTGGAATAAATTTTCGGATTAAGTATATGCGTGTAGTCGTATATATAGGGGATGATATTATATATAATATAGTATATACTTACATGACTACATGAAATACATAATGACTTGCTGATTTCAAAAGTTTTCATTGGTATCACACTACTACTATTATTATATTATAACCACCATTACTTTGATTTCATGCACTGTTATGATCAATTTATCGGTGTCCGTCTCGTGACTTTTAAAGATTCTGCGAGCTCTCTTTGTGTTTAGTAACAATCTTCATCGAGTAATGCTTCTAGGTTTTCATCTTCAAAATTACCACCTAGGACATTATTCGTCATCCAAGCCAAAATAACCACTTTAAAATAGAGATAACAACTTTTGGCACGTTCGTTCAGCTGGATCATGTTATATATAAACTTCCACCAAGATCACTGTCGGCTTATTGTTGTTTCCGCATCAAATGAATGACTTATTCTGAATAACACACACAAGGACAGTAGCTTACCATAGCATATTCGGAATAATGGAATAATAATAAAGTTACACCATCTCTTAAAAAACCGAATAAAAATATAGTGATAGACCCAATATTAATAGGTCCAAGTTTTCAATACAGAATTATGGTTCTGTTATTTGAAACTTTAGTTGCCAGATTCATTCTCTGAAGTTATGGTAGCGTCTGTTCAAAATCAAAACTTTATTTATGAATTTAGAATATTTTCGATGAAACTATTTATATAGTACAAGTATAATATTATATAAATCGATAAAATATGTAAATCTACTGCATTAAGAATGGCTAGCCATAGTGTTTTCAATAAAACTCCTCTATGAAGCTCATTATTTATAGCAGATACTCTACTTTTAAAACTCCGTTAAAGAAGTATAGAGTTAAATTAACCACTTTCTAGATATGTCATGATTCCAATGCTCATTCCAACAAGTTTTAGTTATCATACTGACTTTATGGCTCAAAACACCGTATTAGCATTTTAACAAGTAATGATCTGTAGTTGGGAAATTTGACTTTGAAACTTAACGCTCAACATCATATCTTCTCTTTAATGACTCGGAAAATTCGACCCGTTCCGTGTTTTCAGCTATACCGGAGCAGAGTAATAATTATATTTTTTTTAATCTTTGGAATATTGTCCGTAAGTCAGATGATTATCCATGTCACAGTAATGACGAATCATCACCATAAAGGGGAAAATAACAGGTTTAACTTAATTACTCTTAGAGAAAGAGAACTAAAGGGTGAGGCTCAGTGTATGCGCCGATTAAGAAGTAACTGGACCTGGCTATTTGGACGAGAGTCTCATCCTATTGAGAGTGAATTTTGTTCATAGGTGAAGATTTTCAGACACAAAGCACCTACGAATAGAGAAACAATTCTTCCGTTAATTTTTAATTTGCCCTCGATTCCAGCGTCCTTATCGAAATATTCTGCGAGGCTAGAAAAGCAGTATGAAAAATAAATTTTGTTCCGAAATCTTTACCCCAAGTGTGTTCCACTTATCAAACCGTCCTCGTGAATAAATCAATTTTTGTACATATGCGAGCATACATGTAAGTGTTTGTTTATATTTTCTTGTAATTATCATGATTACCAGTCACATTTACATGCCAGCTAGCAGATATGGAATAAAGAATGAATTGATTTTTTTTCTTTTTCACCCCACACAATGCAAATATATATATTGAGGTGGGTGCAACTGTATACGTTCCAATCCAGATATCTACTTCCCAGGCATAGACACAGGTGTCGAACGTGTGCCGCGACAACCGCACTCAACACAACGTCATTAGCGCCACCACGCTCACCGTAGTGACAGTTGTTGTTCATAAATACGCCACGCCGACTGGTGCTTCGATTTAATTCGCGCCGGCACTCGTACGGCTCGGCGCGTTGCCAGGACTCTCGGTGAATCTGTTCAATTGCAGACTGTCTAGCTAAACGTATTTAGGTATTTTAGTACGTTGCTGATTGTCAGCAAGCTTGTCTACCAGTTATTGTGTATTCTGTCTAGCGCGTTCGTTTACTAACGGCACAGTCCAAAGCAGTAGTAAACAAATGACTTCGTGGCCTATATAACTGGCAAAATCAATAAGTTAATATTTATTTTAATGTGCCTCTTCATTTATATTAGCGATTTCTGCGGGAAAAGCTGTTAAACGGTGTTAAGGATATAAAATAATTTATAGAAAAACAAAAATTAAAAATATAGACTGGAAAAAATGCTGGCTTTATGGATTCGCCAGCACGCGCCGTCTGCCGTGGATCAACAATGAACTGAATTTATCTATTACGTGTTTAGGCTTCTTAGCCTTGTAAATATTTGATAGCCCGCGTTGCTCTCGATTTTCTGTCTGCTTGCGACCCTACTTTTACTTTCGTGCGTGTCGTTTGCGTATAATCGAATTTAGCGCCGGTATTATAAAATGTGTTGAAAACGTCTAAGTTTCGCTATTACTTTTGGCTAATGGGAAGTGCTTTATTTTTATTTTTTACTATTGTGATACTTTGAATCAGATATGCACTTTGGACCTGCGATATGGACGCGACATATGAGAATCACCGCATTTGGACAACAAACAACGGCTTCGTGCGAAATAATGCGCGGCCAGCAACAGGTAAGCTAATTAGTGTAGGTTCGTAAATACTTCAAAGCTTTCGTCAGCCTGCCACAAGAAGGTATAAAGCTTTGCTTTGGTATAAAATGTTGCAATAGTTTAAAAAAGTCAAATTCTCAACAAGCGGGTGACTTTCGCTTAGTAAAGTTTATTGCGGCTAAGATATCTTATTGTTGAACATACATAAATATACATTATTTACTGAAACAAAAAATTATTAATTATTTTAAGTTGCATATAAAAATGGTGGTTGGTTCGGTGTTCTTAAATCTAAAATTTCATTAAATCTCAAAAGTAGAGGTAAAAACATTTTCGAAGCACTATTTTTTACTAAAAAGCCGCTTTGTTTTCCTTGAAACGAATTTTCTACAAGAAAAATCATTCGCCACCGACAGGATCACAGCAATCACTTGATGCTAGGTTCAAACTATTAGGTGGATGCATAAAATCATCCCAACCAAGCTTCCGGAGCGTCTGGCGAGTCACTGTCGAAGTGTGAGGCTTTGCGTTGTCCTGATGGAATACCACTTACGGCAAGATTGCGCGTGGTTGACTGTTACATTGTAACATTGTAGGCGGCTGACTTGCGTTTCCGTTTATTCTATTTTGGCCAATTTATCTATTATTTGATCTACAGTCAATCGGAACAAACCCACCGAATTTATTTAAATTTGTTTAGTAGCTCTGAAATCGTTTATAAAATAAAATCCATGTATATGGAGAACGATTTAACTCAATTGAATGGTGTTATACTGACCTAAGCTAAAGTAAATGATGGTTTTAAACATGTGGATTTTATGAAGAAATAACACGGATGTATTTAATGTTATGGCCAAGCATTTAGCTTTATTATAAAGTTAAGGGTTTGTCATTATGCTTTTAGAATGGTCGCCTCGGCTGGCTCGATTAAATTCCAGCCAAGATGACTAATTTTGACCACTTTTTTCCAGTCATTAATTCCATTAATTGATGGTTTCGTTGGCTGTATGGCATGTAGTACCGTCTTGTTTGAACCAAAAATCGTCTACATCAACATTGTCAAATTCAGTCACGAAAGAGTCATTAATCATGGCTCTAAGCGTTCTCCCTTGACTGTAACGATTCTTCCTGCCCATAGAGCACACCAAACAGTCACTTTTTGAGGATGTTACGGCGTACCAAGAATGGCTCCTGGATTAATATCACTCCAAATGCGACAATTTTGTTTATTAACGTACCCATTCAACCAAAAGTTAAGCTTTAATTCTTGCACGAGTTGGATTTTGTAAGCCTGCAAACCAAGATCTTTCCACAAAATCTTCCATAAAGTGCATCGGCACAGCTCCAATTGTTGCGCGAGATACCAGATGGGCTCATTCAAGTCTTCTTTGATACTCTGCTCCAAAGCAGCAATACGGTACGGTGGCTCTGAAGATTAGCATTATCGACTAGAGTAAACGTGGTGCGAAATCGATCCATGAAACCGATAAATTTGCACGATAGTAAAAAATAATCATACTTATAATGTGTAATCTAATATTTAATTTAAAGGGGAATATTAATGGTAATTTTGTTTTGACGAAATTAATATTTTGAAATTATCAATAATTGCATTTGCATATATAATTTCAAAACCAAAAATGTTATACTTGTGTGTAAACATATGTATTCTATATAGAAATAGAAATAGAAGAAATAAAACAGTACAAGTGAGATAAGAAACAAATTCAATTAATAGAACAGAATATTAAGCACGCTAAGCTTTAGCCTAGAGCAATGACCTTAAAAATATATACATATGATAAATGCCTATACGAGGGACTAATACAGTAGTGAGCAATAAACAGGCTACATTATTTTTTTTACGATTCATATTATTACTAATATTGTTAGTAAGCATTTTTGAGTTATAACTACTTTTCAGTAATTTATATAATACGTATCTACTCTTTCCGAAATGGGGTAACATATATTTACATATAGATCATCAACAATGGGCGAAGCCACTAAAATATTTCATATTTTACGCCCAGCTGATTTTGGCTTAAATTTCATTGAGGTACTAAGTTTTAGTAGTATGAAATTGGAATAAATTAAGTTAATTAAAATTGAAAAATTATGCAAAAGAGGTCAGAGGTTTTCGTGAATAGAAAATATTTTCAATAAGAAGTCAGGATTCTGAAAAAATATATATAGTAAAGGGATATCCTCTCCAATTTCCTTTACTTACTGAAACAAAAGTACCTGATAATTCTGAGCATTGCCGATAATTACCAGATATGCGAACACTATTTTTGGACTGATTCTACGTTCTTCTGGAATTATTGCAGTATCCAAATTTATATGGATAAGCGTTATGTGTAAAATATTTCTCGTTAAAAGCATTGGAAAATACTACAATAACAGGTATAAATTCTTGGGGAAACGCAAAACTCGTTAACTAATATTTTAGGCATTAGGCAGTGTTTAAATTTCTAGAATATGCTAAACCTTTTCTCGTGAGAACTTGGTCAAAGCTGTTGCTCTTATCTGCCAAAAACTTATATTTTTATGCTTGCCACTGTAACTTTTCAAATGACAGGACAAAAACACTTCTGCTTATATTCATATATGGACATAATGTCCGGTGATAGCTCATAAAGCCGTAAAAGCCCCTAATGCGCCCGACTATTGACAGGGTCCCAGAGCTGTACACGCCAATAAACAAAAGAGGAGCGGCAGGTACATTTCAACAAATTGTATATTCATACAAGTGTATAGGTATGTACAATACATAGTATGTAAGTCTATACATATATATGCAGAGAGCCATAGTAGCAGGCGTTGACACAATTGCAATCGAGCGATTCATGTAAATAGCGCAACTATTTAATGACAGAAAATGTTGTGCTTCGATTTTATCAAGATGCGAGCAATCATTTAACGGTTCTACACGCTCCTTAACTCCATAACTGTGCCATTGTTTGGACACTTTGCGCAGGACACTATATTCGAGAGACAAGGCAGGACTATGACATGTCCTGCACTAATGGTCATTAGGCATTCGTCATTCATTTCCGTTATGTACATATATTTACGAATATATGGATTTGTTTAGCATTACAAATATACTGTGATTTCACAACTATACAAAGACATGCATGTGTTTTATATTTATTCTAAATGTCGTTACTCATGTGATAATCATGTCAAAAGCAATTAATAGTTTTATTTTTATGCACAATTATATATGTATGCCTATATTTATATGCACGAATTATAAATATATATGTTTGTATGTTTGTAAATTGGCTAAAATAAATTATTGAGTTTTTACTCTACGCAGTAGATGGTATTTATATTCTCGCAACATGTTGCACAGAGTGTAATAATTTTGTTCATCTAGTGGTTCTTTGTAACAGCTAAAGCTAATCGAGATAGATATAGACTTTTATGGCAAAATGATGAGATGACAAGATAAATTAAAGAACTGTCCATCTGTCCGCCCGTCCGTGCTAGCAATAACTTGTGTAAAAATTGAGATATGCTGATGAAACTTAGGCAGATGGGCAAAATCGGACTATTGCCACGCCTACAACTTACCGTTAAGTGAAAAATTATTCAATGCTAAACTAAACCACAAATTATGCTAAGAAATTTTGTATGAAAGATCACATTAAGAAGGCGAATTTGTAGTTTAATATTTTTTTAAAAGTGGGCGTGTATCCGCTTCCCTTTGCTGGAAACAGTATTCTACATACTATTATATTATACATACTTGTACAGTATTAACAATACTTACCATAAAGAGAAATAACTCACTAAAGAAAAATGCAAAAATATTTAATGGAATAAAGACGAAATGTTAAAGTTGTATTCGCATTGTTATTCAAATTAGGAAAAGGGCGTGCCCCCGCCAACTTTTTGCTGAAATTCCATCGTAATTGTTTGAAAACGGACGAAATCGCACTACACCCACACCTATTTCCACATAAAAATATTTAAAACTCTCCCAGACTCTCCCTCACTTTTCAATATAGTATATACTTGTATAAATGGTAGCACATCTTTACGAAAAATGGCCGAAATCAGAACATAACTTTTCTGGCCTCCAGATACCAAGTATGATTCCAAAAATCTTAGTCAATCCTTTAGACATATTAATGAAACTCAAAAGTCATCTTCTTTTGATAATAATATGCCTTTGTGTCAAAAATGGAAAAAATCGATTCAATACTTCCCCTATCCCACAAATACCTAATATAAGATATTTAAAGTTCTTGTTGACTTTATATTGTATAAATCGGGAAATATTATATGTAAGATATGTGAGAGAAATTAAAAGAACGTATGATCTTGGTGTAGGTTAGTGGTGAAAATAATTAAAACTGGTTCACAAACTATTCTGGACCCATATATATATCGCTCCAACTTTGACTTATCTTAATAAAATTGCATGAATTCTCGAACAGATTTTTGTTTAACGCTAAAACTAAATTCATTCAGCGTATACCTTCTTTTATAACCAATATAGTCAGTATAATAATTTTCCAATTTCCGGTTGAACGGTATAATGTTTATATTGGTCAACATCTTCCGTAACTTAACCTCAATATGATATAAAAAATTCGGTTATAACCGAACTTATGCCTTAGGTGCCTGTTTTTAAAAAATTTAAAAGTGGGGTTTAATTGTTATGGTACATAATGTGTTCAAAAAATAATGGAAATTTTAAAATTAAAATTTCCAGAGTTTGGGGAGTCCAGTTTTCATTTTTTTATTATAACGATATACATGCCCCTGAAGTACGATACAATTTTCAGCTGTATTCATTGCCTACATTGTCTGTAGCAGTTGCTAAGGTTAGATGTGGTGGATTTCCTTTGTTAAAACAAATTGATCAAGGAATTTGTTCGTGAATTCTTGGCCAAAAACAATACTTAACGATGCCGCAGCCTCCATATTCACCAGACATGGCTCCAGGTGACTCTTTCACATTTCTAAAAATTAAGAGAACTTTAAAGGGCCGTCGTTTTACAAGATACACCAAATCAGGTATATGCATCTCTTATGTCAGATTCATTAAACATAAATATATATTTTCCCATAGTAATGTTATTAGATATGCAGTACTATATGACAACTATTTATATGACCTCCTTTATCATTCATCTATTGTACTGACTCCACACTGTGGATTTCCCGGACAATAAGACGTCTTATTGAAACCAACGTAACTGTTTACGGTTTGAATACATTCAGTTGAAATTTCACTATTCGTCTTATTATATTCGGAAGTTTAGTTTAATTGTTGTTATAAATCAAATCACCTAGTGGGCTTGCCTAAAAAAGGTGCTTTGTGGGAAGTTTTTTTTAAGGAAAGCGATTGCACTAAAAGTACTTTGCGGATAAATTTATATATAAATAGTGAATATACAAGAAAGATTAAAAACATATTTAATTGATAGCGATTTATTCGCTATCCTTCAAGCTACTACAAAAATAGCTATCCACTGTAGCAGTGATTGCACTATCCACCGTTCGAATGAGTCGAGCGTTAAACTGAAATAAGGGTACAAATTGAGTCATTCACTTGACATAACAATAACGATTAGGTTTATATACATATCTTGCTTAACGAATAACTCCATTATTTGTGTTAGTGTACGCTTGTGCCGTTACCAAAATATTTTGCAAAATACCAGCTGTTTCAATGGAGATATAATATCGAAAAGCCTGTGGATCCTCAACTTTTTATATATGGTATACATTTTTATTTAACGACAAGTTTCGATTTGAACGACGTTAAATAACAGAAAAAGTGTGCCTGTGATAAATAACTAGAAATTGTGCTGAATTGGTGGAGAAAACCTGTGAAATTATTGGTACTGATGTAAATCTTACTGCGAGAAAGTTGGCTGAGGGATTAAATATAGGTGAAAATACTGTTTGGAGAACTTTAACTGAAGATATGGGTAAAAAACCATTATATAAATTAAGACAAAAAAGTGATGGGACCTTTGAGAAAAACTAGATTTCTCTCATCAACCTTCCTCTATATTCGCCTGATCTATCACCATGTGACTATTTTCTATTTCTATTGAAATCCAAAATGAAAGAAGCATTTTATAATGACGCCTCAGCCATTCAACTAGATCTATGCATACGCTGGTTGATCATTCCAAACATTATATTGAGTGTAATGAAACCTATTTTGAATAAATAATAACTTTCAAAGATTATATAATGTACATTTTATTACATATCCAAAAAGTTCGGTTATTTTCAGGGCAAAGCTTGTATTCATTTTAATACAGTTTTTATCCTCAAGAAGTACATCTACATCTAAATCTGTGTGTGTGGTAGGTGCCAAGTCCGAAAAAGTCAGAATATTTCTTTAATGGGAGGTAATCAGGTTATGAATCACTTTCTCTTGTTTTCCAGACAATGCTGGACGTACATAGAACAGAATATCCATTAAATTAGTAGTAAGCTCTTTGCTTTCATAACTAAATACATATTAACTATTTATATAACAATTAAATAACTTCAGTGGGCGAAAACTGCTGAATATTGTGTTGTATTATCTGGAATAGTGAACGCCTTTCGTATTATTTTATACACTTATGAACGATCATTAGCTTAACTAATAATAGGAAGTGTTTATGGTTAAAATGGGAGCAATACGAAATACAATTCATGCCTTATCAACTAACTTTATTATTTTCCATAACAGTATTTCATTGGATTTAAACATAATTATCTGCACTGCAGGTAACCTTAGTATACACAGCACTGGCTCAGCTGCAGGCGATATATCCTATTTACCGGGTGCTAATGGCTCCACCACCGCGTTAGGCAAGCGACCGCCTCACGGTGCCACGTTCGTCGGCGTGCAATCAAAGTAAGTATACCGAAATTAGTAGGACAGAATGTGTAAATTATTTACTGACCATTTGTTTAACCACACCTTTCAAGTGGGTGGAAAAATTGATTGCACTTTAATTGCTTTGTCAACTTCATTTGAATTGATTGTAGTTCGAAATGTCAATAGTCAACATAAATTTATTTTTAATTGCTGTTATTTACAGGTTTCGACGAAAATATTACCAGAAGACTTTGTTTGGTTTGCTAATACTTTTGATAATAATTTTAATTATAGCTATAATAGTCGTATGTATAAGGCGTAAGTATAATGTTGTATTGCTAACCTCTTAAGTTTTTCTAATAACTTTCTCCCTCTTCCCCGTCCTCGCTCTCGTTAAGGCCGTACACAACCTGAAATGTGTCGCAGCAAAGAGTGTCTCCGCACAGCGGCTGGCCTCATTTACTCAATGGACGAAGAGACTGATCCTTGTGAGGACTTTTATAAATTTACCTGTGGTCGTTGGGCGGACGATCATCCCAAACCCGATTCGGCCACATCAAATGACTGGTTTCGTGAGCGTCAAGCAAAAATTATGCGCACGCTACGTTCCTTCCTGCAAACGAATATTAGCGAGGAGGAACCCCTCGCTGTGCGGAAGACGAAAATAATGTATCGCGCTTGCATGGATACGGAATTATTGGATAAGCGTGAGCTAGAGCCGCTGATATATTTTCTCCGGAAGTTTGAGTTACCACTTTTGCTGAGCGGTTTCAATGTGACATTGCCAGAGGAGGTGATGCGAAAGTATGGCGAAGAAGCGAAATTTAATTGGTTGCGCAGTTTAGTTCTCATTAAAAAGAACTTAGGCATGGATTTAGTAGTGGGGTTCGATATATTCCCTGATCCGGTAAATCGTACAATTAATCGTATAGCTTTGGGCACGCCCGAAACTGATTCTTCATTGCCTTTGTAAGTACTAAATGTAAATATTTATACCATATTTATATTAATTTAAGAAATTTCCAGCAACAAAGATGACATGCATAAATTGTTAAATAAAATCAAACGGAAAACAATAGCCAATCACGAGGAGGATGATGAAGACAGTGAAGAGCTGGAGGATGATATAGAAGAATCTCAGAAGCATACTACCTCCGGATTGATGACTTATGTGGCCTATATCAAAAAAATGGTTGAATTATATGTGTTGTACTTAAATCCTGACGCGAAGGTGGAATCGATTGATGACACGATAGGCGAGATGGCTATTCAAGCTGTGAAGTTCGCGAAAAAATTGTACCGGGTGTGTATTGTTGTACAATTTTTAAAATCAACACTAGGGCTTGTTTCGAAATAATAATTGTGGCTAAATTGTATTATATAAAAATGCTCTAGAAATCTAGAAAGGAAAATCTAAGTTCGAGTGTAACCGAACATTTCATACTCTTGCAACTCGGCTAAAAAACATTTTCTCCGAATTTGAATTATATATCAGAAAAATCGAATGAGATCTTTGGCAAAAGGTCGGCCATAAGTCCTGGGGTCCACATATTCGGTATGTGGGGGCTTGAATAGGTCCGATTTCGACAATTTTTATACCTGAGATAAAGGAAAATTTCTAGAAAATGTTTATCCCGATACATTAATTAGTGCTTGATTTGTATACTGGAAAGTGAAAAAACCAGATGGAATTTAAAGTTGTGTTATATGGGAAGTGGACGTGGGTACTGTCTGATTTCGCCCATTTTCGCACTGTTACATGGGAATGTCAAAATAATCTTACGTAACAAATTTGATTGAAATTGGTGAAGTATGTTCGGAGACATGGGATTTCACCTAAATCTGAGCGGCGCCATGCCCATTGTCCACTTTTGAAACCTGTTCCTATAAAACCCTTTTGTGCCATCTTGGCATGTCTCTGTTGCTTTTCGTTATGGATTCATCCCACGTTTAGTAGTTTTTAACAAAACCATTGTGTAGGGAGTGAGCGTGGTTCTCATATGATTTCACCTATTTTCGTGCTGTCGAAAGAGGTATCTAAATGGTATGTTCTGTGCAAATTTGGGTGAGAGTTTGGAAGATATATACATTAAACCTACTAGGTGGCGGTAGTTTAAAATAAATTTTAAACCACAGGAATTCAACTTCTCTCGTCATCCTATATAACTCCATTCTATCTCGATTAGTTTTAGGTGATACAAACAACCATTAGGTGAACAAAACTATTATACTCTGTAGCAACATGTTGGTATATATTTTAAAATTCAGTATTGTTTAAAAAAATTAGGATACATCGAACTAAATAGAGATAAAAATCGAATACATATGTTTTATTTAAAGAAAACCTTTTTATATGCATTTGTTTTATAATTTTGTGGTTTACAATCTTCTTTTAAGCACCAACAGTAAATCTGACATGATATGATGATCCCAGCAAGCTTCATATTTTTCTTCAATCAATTTTAGATCTTGAAGCGCTCTCTCTGTTCTTCCTTTTAACTTGCAAAATTATCCGAAAATTTATCCACATGATTATGGAGATAATCTAACTCGATACTCATATTTGCTCTTAGAGTCTGAAAGTTTATCACCATATTTTCCCCCATTTATTCATAATTTAGTGCTTTATGGTTACCCAGGAAGTTTTTGACATACAACTTTTCCCTCTATTAATTTCCCTTCTAAGCTTCGGAAAATTTCTGTCAATAATAATAAACAATATTCTTCCACGTCCACCGCTTTGAATAATTGCTTTATCATTCCTAACTTGATCACAAATTAAATCACTCTGTTCATTTCGAAAAAATAATTTTGGAGTTTCTAATTATGGCTGGAAATATAAAGATATTGTACGATAAATAAACGACCAACAGGCCGATATTTTATCAAACTTTAAGGTATGCAATAATCATACAAAGAAGATCACTTTCAATACTTTCATGAATAAATTCGTAATCTCTTCATTCACTTCACTTGAAATCATAAAAATTTACTAAGATATCCAGGGCAACAGACAAAGGTTATAACTAAATTATCTTTTTTTCTTGTTCACCATTGCGCATTTGAACCTCTTCTTTATCACAGGTCTAAATCAGATGTTCGGTCTTAAGCAATTTTTTAACACAGCACTCACGATACTTTATGTGGCTAGCGATACAAGCAACGAAAATGATAATTTACCTTAGTGCCGATAATTTCCTTACCTTTTGGCAACATCGCTGAATATAATATCATTTGATAAACAAGCCATTGGGACTTTGAATTACAAATCTATGAAGAATATAAGTCAATATTAAATATATGTAAGTTTACTGAAGGAAATCATTCTCAGGGTGGACCAAGCAGTTAAATATTTCAATGCATTTCAATACCACGGGTTTATTTAGATATGAAAGCCCTTCCATCGTTTACCTTCAGACGTTAAGAGACCACTTTAAACTCAACTTGTCAAATAACATCAATTCATTTTTGTCCAACTGCTTTGTAAGCTTATTTAATAATAAATTTATCATTTACTTCCAGTTGAAAGATGACGCTGAAAACTTGACAAAAATTCTGACGAACCCCATTGAGGACATAGTTTACATATCCGTCGCGGATTTGCAAAATCGCACCAACAAACTAACTGCCCCAACAACAATACTTAACTGGGAGACATATTTGCAGGTGATGATGGACGACGCCAACCATTCACAAAACTTTAACCTTAGCGAGTTGACTATCATAACCAGTAATGCGGATATCGTCTACCTGCAAAACCTCGTTGAGTATCTAGCAGATGCGCCGTCGACAAATATTGAGTTCTACATCTGGCTAAGTGTCGTCGAGGAATTGATATTGCACACTACCAGCGAGATGCGGCTGCTGCACTCCGAATATATGCGTCTAATTGTGGGCACCGAAAGCAGTTCACCTCGTTCGCTGTATTGCGCGCATGGCGTTAATAGCTTGATGGGCATGGCTGTGAGCTATGTCCTGGCTGATGATGAATTCGTACACCACAAGCTGCCCAAGGTGGAGCGTATGTTAAGTGATATCAGACATGCTTTCGATATGCTGGTGCGCCGCACCTCTTGGATGGATGAGGAGACCAAAGAGGAGACACTACAGAAATCGGAATCTATGAAAAGTTTCATTGGCTTTCCGGAGTGGTTGCGTAATGCAACGGCGCTGAATGCACACTATGCGGGCGTTCAGGTGAATGCGAGTACACACTTGGAGAATATGATTGGCGTGCTGCGTTGGGAGATGCAGAATAAATTGGATAATCTCTATAGACCAGAACCGTTCGGTTGGGCAACGGCACCATCGAATGTAAACGCCTTTCACACTTTCCAATCGAACACGATAAGTGCGTGTTTTATTGTGATTTACCGGAGTCTGAATGTAGAGTCATTTGTTTTATTGTTCTCTCTCTGCAGCTATACCCATTGCAATTTTGCAATATCCTTTCTATGACCTCGGCATGGAGTGAGTAAATATTACAATAGCACGTTTGCTGCATCAATTGGCACTTCAAATCTATGCAATTTATACTTTTCTGATGCTGTTTATTTGAATTTGGTTCTGATTTTTATTGTATTTCATTGTTTTACTGCGTGTGCACTGTACTTGTATACATACCATACACTCGTATACATAATAACACTCGTGAATACAAATTCCCATTGAGACTATCTTCACAAGCACATAAAAAAATAAAAGGCACTAACAAGTAAATCCAAAAAGAAAATCATGCACATATGTGTTATAGTATAATCTCCAGCTGTAAAATGGCTTTGTTTAAGAAAAGAAATTTCAACGAAACACCTAATTTGTTTGATACGTTCAACGTTAAAAATTACTTTAAATTGTTATTTGTTATTTAAAAAACAGGAAAGTTAACTTCAGTTGCACCGAACAATATGCACCTTTTGTAAGTACATGTTCAGTTTCTTTGTCAGCTACATAGGTATATGCTTATCGGAACAATTTCATCGGAGATTGCATTATTGCCTTAGACAATAAACATATCAAATTCCTTGAAGATATCTCCATGCGAGCGGTTAGTTCCGATCGTTCAGTTTGTATGACAGCGATATGCTATAGTGATCCGATATCGGCGGTTCCAACTAATGAGCAGCTTCTTAAGGAGAAAATGAGGAGAAAAAGTAGAATTTCAGATCGATATCCGAAAAACTGAGGGACTGGTTCTTTTATAGACTGATCACATATGTATATACTTTATAGGGTCTTGGACGGTTTCTTCTGAGTGTTCTGTAAAATACTTACTTTTAATGAAAATAGGGCAATGAAAATCGTTCATTTCCTATATGCTATATATTGTCATCTCATGAAATTCCTCTTTTTAGGCAATAAATTCGGGATGATTTAACTTGAGAACACTTTGAAGTATTACAGAACACAACACGTTTTCTTATACCCCTACAACAAGTTATATAGGAGTGTAACAGTTTTCTTCACAAAGATTTGTTTGCCGGTATAACATGATCTTTGCAAGCTCACCTGTACGACGTGAAATTGAGACGAATCGGTTAATAACTGCACACCCCCGAAGGAAGGCACCGAAATTAAGCATAATCGGTAAAGAACTTTGCGATAACAGAGTTTTGAGTTAACAGGTTTCATAATAATTAAATTAAAAAGGAGACACGTAAATTTGTAACTATATCTTGACGAATATTTTACACATTAATATTATTGCATAATAAAATATATATTGTACCATTTCTTAGTAAACTTTACTGATTTCCCTATTGGCTTGCTTTTTGTCGATCTTACCAGCACTGGCACAGTTCCTCTTATACCGAATTTCATCACGTTCCAAGTGTTCTGTTCCAGCCACTATTACCGTTATAATTAAGAAAGTTTCAAGGAAGTTGTTTGAATGCGCGAACTAATCGTGACTGGAACACTAAATTTTTATATATTTTCGAAATATTTTCGAAATATTACATCTGCAATTATCTTAACAACAAAAGCACTTCCAATATTTTCATAAATAAGGCCGTAATTTGGACACTTGTAAGCGTCCAGATTTTTTAAGATCATCAAGACAAGAGCTTTGTTATATATACGAATTTAAAATTTTTTGATTTTATAATGTTAGAATAAAAATTAATTCCCATAGGTTAACCTTATTTGTTTTGATTAGATGTTCATTCACGTATTACTTAGTGCACTAGATAATTTCTTGAAGCACCAGCACAGGACACTAAAGTAAAAGTGGTGTTCCCTTAAGAGCATTACTTTTAATACTCACTATGCTAAAATTAGAGCGCTGAATTATGGCTCAGTCGGCACAATTTTGGGACACGAATTGACACATGGATTTGACGACAGTGGACGAATGTTCGACAAGAATGGCAACATGCTGCAATGGTGGTCGAATGAGACGATCAAAGAATATATCAATCGCACTGAATGCTTTGTGGAGCAATACAGTCGCTACTATCTGCCCGATGTTGAAGAATATGTGAGTCAAATATATTATATTATATGTACATACTACATATAGATCTAAATCAACCTTCAAATACTTTCCAGATCGACGGTGAGCTAACGTTGGGTGAAAATATTGCTGATAACGGTGGTATGCGTGAAGCCTTTCACGCTTATCGTATGTACGTGAAAGAAAACGGCGCTGAGCGGCTGAAATTGCCTGGTTTGGAGAAATACTCGAATGAGCAGCTATTTTTCATTTCATTCGGAAATCTGTGGTGTGAAACGTATACGCCGGCGGCTTCACGCTATGCACTCGAGGACTCTCATTGTCCCGGAAAGATACGATTAAAGGGTGTACTCTCCAATTCTGAGGAGTTTGCGCAAACTTTCAAGTGTAAGCGGGACACACCTATGAATCCGAAAGAGAAGTGTCGTCTCTGGTGAGTGGTGATAATGGATACAGGCGGTGAAGGAGTCATATTTATAATAGGAAATATAATCAAATAATACGTAATTAAAAATATATTTTTAATATATATCTGTTATAGGTAATACGTGTTTGCTCAAATTTGAACTTTTTAATACGAGTAATATCAATATGAATGAAAGGCAATTAGTTGGTCTTTACATTATGGTATATTAAGATGATTTCCGAATCAAGGTGATTTTTTTACAAATATATATAATAAGATTTATAACCCTCTCGTATGTGATTGCTTGTTAAAATGTTCGCTGTGTGATTTATATAGTTTTGAATAAAGAACTCCTTCTATTAATATAAATACTAAAGCTGTCTTCGATTCAAGAAACCTTGGAAAGCAGCGAAGCGAAAAAACTATGGCAATTGCTTAAACAAACTTATAGTACGTGCAACCTCGCGCTCACATGTCCTTTGGCACAAGCGTTGTATAGAGAAATGTTCCTTTTCGCGCCAAAATCATTTTAGTAATCTCTTACTTGTAGTTTAGGGTAGATGCCATGCTTTACGTTTTCTACCAAAATTATAAATTATTCCAAGTAGCGTTGAATTTAGCGGGTATACCAATTTTGTGTGTACTCTCTTTTATCAATACACTTTTTTAACTTTATAGTTGAATTCACCTCTCTAAATTTTGATAAGAGAGTAGCGCTCAAAGACAGCGAGCAGTAAAATGGCGAATCGAAGACGGCTTATATAAACTTGTACGGACTTAACGGTTACGATAGCATGTAATACGCACGCATTAGTACCTAATTAATGACATATTGACCCTACGAGTACTTACTTATGAATCTTTTATATTAAACATTGTAAATAAAATAAAAACATTTTCCACACCAAAAAAATTGTTAAACCTTCTTATAATATAGCACATTATATAATTTTGTAAAACGCCATTGATTATAGGAAAATTTTGTTCAGCCATGAAGCTCACTTTTGGTTGAATCAATAGAGGTTAGATATATGGATATATATTTTAGGACAAACATATTTTGGACAAAAAAAAATTTGTTTGGTCAAACTCTTCACTGAATTTGATAGTGTTTGACACAAAATTAACTTGAACGCTTCAGAAAAGCATGTTGTCGTTTAAGATTTTTTTTTAAACTCCAATAGTGACCACAAAATTTTTTTTTTAAGTTGATAACTTTTAATTGGCCTGAAAGAGGACTCTCCACATCTTCTAGAACACTATAAAAAACTTTTTACGAAATCAAAATTTTAACTCGAAATTTAACGCCGCTTACTGTTTTTGTTAAAATCTACTCAAAAAGCGAATAAGTACGTCAGAGACATGAAATCTTAACACAAGATGGTACAGAAGAGCTTTATTAGAGCACCAATGAATATAACGGGATAAAAATTTGCAAGAATAGTGCCTTGCCTAAGACATAAACATTTTCCGAATCTAACCAAAACAATTATAGCTCCTAGGTACAGAATATGTGGACCCCTGTCTCTATTGGAACGTTTTATCGAAAAATCGATATTTGGAAATAATCCTTTTCTGATAATAGTATGCTTGTGTATCAAAATTGGATTGAATCAGATCAATAATTCCCTTAGTCCCCGTATCATAATAGAAAATGTTCGAACATCCGACTGATATTATACCCCCAATATCGGCCAATATGTTAGTTATCTTAACATTGCGAGGACTACATAAATTGTTTTTACGAAGCATATTATAAATATTTTACTCTTAAGACTTCTTCATAAAATGGCAAGCGGGACAAATATTAATAATCACTTACGCTTAATTATTGAATATGTGGATAATATTGGGGTATAGGGGTAGTATTGTATATAAGCTGTGAGGTAAACAAAGGTAAAGCAAGTAAAGAAGGGCTAAGTTTGGGTGTAACCAGCTCTCGCAACTTACAATATCAAAGTCAGGGAAATACCTTCAAGTATTGACAAAACTTTATATATCCCTGAATTCATCCATTTTAAGCCAGAGAATAAACTGTTATTGAAAGATATTCTTTTATTCATTAAGATTCTTCAAATATTGACCAATAGATGCAGTATAAAATCAACCGAATTTTCCCATTTTTGACAAAAGGGCATGCTATGATCACAAAAATATTCTCCCCAAATTTCAATACTAGAACTCTCAGATTGACCGATATATAAAAAATTAGCCATATGCACTGTGGTTCACATATTTGGTGTCTGGGTCCTTGAAAAAGTTGTAGTCCGCTTTTGATAATTTTTGACGTGAGATGGAATAGCTTGAAGGAACTATTTGAGCAAACCTTTATTCTGATAACTTAATTGATGATTTGTATACTGTAAAATGAAAGAATCAAAAGAAATTGAAAAGTTTATTATATGAAAAGAAGGCGTGGTTGTCATCCGATTTCATCCATTTTCACAGCGTATAATAAAACGTGTGGACAACCTCACACACAATTTGGTTAAAATAGGTCCAGCAGTTTTTAAGATATAGGGTTCCATCTAAAGGTGCACGGTGTCACACCCCTTGTCCAACTTTTATTCTATATAGCGTTTCCTTACCATCTTGGCTGTGGAATTACATACTTGTTTCGCATTTAGTTAGTGAGTTATGGCACTTCTATGTAGTGGTTTTTCCCATAAACGGTTTGGTAGATATCCACATGAAACTATTTGGGGCGTGGCCATGCCCACTTTTATACAAACACAGGTGTTCTTCGCTATTGTGATCCCCTGTACCAAATTACAGTTTTGTATGTTCATTTAGTGCTCAGTTATGACACTTTATATGTTTTTCTTTAATGGCGTTTTATGAGCGTGGCAGTTTATAAGCTCTATGCTTAACTCTATTAGTGTTAGGTGATACAAGCAACCATTAGGTGAACAAACCTATTATACTCTGTAGCAGCATATTGCAATATTATAACAATGTAAGATTTATATACATATGTATAAAAATACCACATGGTGATCCTTTGATATATGTATTACTCTTACTTATTTATAGTTTAAAATAAGTGGACTATGTCCGTCCGTCTGTCTGCTCGCACAACGGATAGCTTCAGATAAAATTTTGATATCCCGTATTCTTTGGTATCCAATATTAACAAGTATAGCATTTCTGACCGAATTAAATTTTCCTTACTATTTAAAGCATAAAATTATTTAAGCTTTACAGCACCAACAATAGGCATACAATTATGTGATACGTCCACATATTTATCTTGATACGCTCTATCCACTTCACAATCACTTTACTGTATTTACTATGATTTGAATATTTAAAGCGATTTGAAAGGATTGCTCTTTTAGTTGCGCAAGTATGATTGTGAAATGGATTGCGATCCTATGTCCCGAACCCTAAGTTATTGGTGCCCTGTTGAGGAATATGTATTTTGAGTAGGTAATAGTGTGGAGGGATTTATTAAAATATATTATATAGATCAGAAGTCATACATCTTTATTTACCTAAAATGAGTTGTTTTTCTAGTTGTTACTTTAAGTGAACTTTACCTTTGTATTCACGTTTTATTTATCAATATGTTTGTCTGCAAAGGATTTTATTTCTTATTCTCGCGTAGCCCACTTCACATGTCAGTGTGTGGATATCATATTTCATTCATCTTTACTCTGCACTTGTTTAAACAAATGATTTGTGGAGATATTGAATTGCGCTGTAGAAAACCGAACTATTGACACTTGATTTTAACTTTAGTTCGGAGGAAATAGTTATATTGATATGAAGTAACTAGGACAGCAAGAAAGGGCTAAGTTTAGATACAATCGTATGTTTTATTTTTATATACACTCGGAATTTATCTTATCTTAATAAGATAACTCTCAATTCCACCGAAATATTCAGCATAAAGTCCGCTAGAATTACAAAAATCATTATAACCCGAACCTATTGGATAATAGGTGGAGATTTCACCCGTTTTCAGTCTACCAAACTATGGTATACAATTTTTATGGGCTTACTTACATTTTCCAAATATGTTGGTGACTATGTAACCTCTACAGTAAAGATGGTTTTCGATTTCGTTTTTGGTTTATTACAGTTAGAAGGCCGAAAAAGTATATTTATAAACATTTTATGGTATCTTTTAACTATATTTTAAGACTTAGTACTATTAAAAATATTATTTGAAAGAGCTACACTCTCCGAAGCTTCTCTCAAAAAAAAAACGTTTTGCTTTGACCACTATCTAAACTGGATCATCAGAAATTAAAAACCAAACAGATTTCGTTAAAGTATAGTTTAAATATAGTAATTAATCGAAGGAATAAGCAAAATAACAATTTTTGATTCTAAAAAAACAAAAAAAATATTTTCACCGAAATTTCGGCCTTAGGTAGGTAGGTATGTAAAGTGCTGTCTTTCGACCACCTATGCTTTTAAGGCCCAATGTGTACCACCGGTGATGGTCCCTCCATCTATGGCTCCTTCCGAACACCCTACTTCTGATGAATTTCTCAGTGAGACAATTTTATCGTGCAACCTCGAGACGTTGTCAAGAAACCCACGACCGATGGCTGGCTGTGATTCTTTCCTATATAGTGCTGCGCAATCGCATAGAGAAGATTTAATGGTCTCCTCCTCTTCTGCTTCCTGACAGTCCTACAATAGTCGTTATATGGCGTACCAAATCTACTTGCATGTCTGCCTATTAGACAGTGACCTGTTAGTACTCCTACCAGAGTTCTTTATATCATTCCGCTTGATTTTAACAGTCGGCTTGTGCATGTCATATTCCATTCATGCCACGTTTGCTGCTAGTTGAGAAGTCAGGGACTGATTCCACTGACACTGGCTATGTTAATGACATATTTGTCGATTCAGTAGCCAGAAGCATATATATGTCCTCCTTACCAGGATCTAGTTGTAGGGTGATGCCTGTTCTGGCTAGATCATCTGCTACACAGTTCCCGGGAGGTCACTGTGTCCTGGGAACCATTGCAGGTTACCGTGAAAAGATTGATTCTAGAGCATGGCATTTTGCACTGTCTTCGACGAAATCCTATGAGACATCAGAGATTTAGTGTCTCATAAAGAATATATTTCTTGTTGTATTACCACTTCTTGTCAGTACAAGAAAGATTCTTTAATTGCGGTGACCTCCGCTTGGGAGACACTGCAGTGGTCTGGTAACCGGAAGGCGATTTTGGTATCTAGTTTAGCTGAGAGAACACCGCCGCCTATCGGTTATACAGTTTGGAACCATCCGTATAGAAGCTTATCCCTGCACTCCTTGTCCACTACGCCCCTTTCCCACTCTCTCTGGAAGGGAAGGCAATATTGAGGACCGGATTAGAGTATCATAAATGCCCTTAGTTATCGACAAGTAGGAGGATTCCATCAGCTCAGAGCTGAATCGCTGCATTTGCTTCAAACAGTTCTGTTAGCAGTAAGTGTAAAATTACGTTGAGTGCCTGTTTGGCGTAGTTCTGTAAAGATCCCTGATGAATACTGGTGCTCTTGTTACTTTTCATGCTTCAATCGCATATTCGTTTCTGTAATTGGCACTATCCAATATACCTGTAAATCATGATCCGTCCTTACAATCGCTGTGTAGGGCCAGTGAGCCTCGGCCTTAATTTTTATAAAAAACAAAAATATTTATAGGAGGGAAAAATTCTATAAAATATATTTAAGAAGCTCGATTTAAAATTTGAGACTAATCGGTTTAGCCTGTTTTCAGTAATGTTGGTTACCACCTCATTTTCTATTCATTACGTCATATACTATCAGAGTTTGTGTGGCTCTTGCTCTCCGAACTTTTATAATACATATATCTCATACATTGTCCGAAATCTTAAATAAAACTGATGGCATGACTCGTTGTTTCGGTATCTTGAAGGTGATAGTTATTGACTATTTTATTGAGAGGTGCCTAAGAGTAAATGTAAAAGAATTTATTGATGG